GCTGGCAGCAAGGAAGCCCTTAATACCTGCGTATCTCTCCTGGGTGCTGGGGAATTACTGGGAATCACCACCTCTTGGTTCCCTCTGCAGGTTGCTCCTATGAAGCAGGGACCTGCAGCAACAGGTGGGGTGGCTGCAGTCCTATATGGAGTCAGCAACACAGCACCAGCCTGATCGAGAAAACAGCAGCACCAGGAGGTATTTTGCATTTAGGAACACACATACACGTATTTGTTTCTTCCATAGGGACCCCCAAGAGAACTGAGCAGGTTGCAGACAGGTTTTAGAGACTCACCCTCACACAGAAATGCAAAAACAAAGCGCTACTTATAATTTCCCTCAACAGGGGGCTGTTGTAGCAAAGAGCAGCTTACCTCCGAGTGCCCTCTGAGTGCTTTCTGTCACCATCTAACAGGATGACATTTAAAAGATACGATTTCCAGAGGCATCTCAAATTCAACAGATGAATCCAAACCTTGCCTGGAAAAGTTGGACCCCTTCATACCACCTCCAGGCTTTCTCCTCCCACAGGCATCAAAAAGGGATATTAGTTTAACTCCATTGGTTTATATCAACACCATAGTATCCAACTACTCAAAATGGTAGCAAGGGAGGGGAAAGCCAAACAAAAACCCACCCCCGAAAAAAAAACTTCAGAAAAATCTTATCTTCTTCCAAAATATCCCCCTACAGAACCTTCTGACCTTCAAAATCGCATCATAAGGTGAGGTCCTTGGTGCTCTTCATATTCACTCCAAACAAGTGCATCCATTCCTTCTTCATTTTAACTGCCCTACCAGATGGTACCTTCTCAATGAGATCTTAATTAGGAGAAGTAGCCTGTGGAAGCAGTTCATTGGATCCACCTGGGACAAACTGCAATAAATCTCTCCCTCTGCTTGCACTTCAATGTAGCTTTAGGGATTCTCTTCAAGAACCTTCTTTTACTGCTTGCTGTTGCTCTCTGGCTGAGTAGTTTAGAAGTCTAGCTATATGCCTTTATTTCAGCTCCAAGTAATAAAAGCTATGGAAACATCTTTATTTTCCCCTACAGAGCTAGGATTTAGTAGAGTGGATGAATGGATGGATGGTTAGCTCCAGTGTCTTCCTCTCTAGTTCCAGTATGTCTACATTCTGTTGGTACCTAGGCCATCTCTCTAATACATATTTCCTAAGTTAAAGCAACCTTACGCGCCTCTGTCCTACCTAGGGTCTGAGCACAGCTGGCTCCCCCAACCACGAGCAGGCCTGCGATGTGGTAATAACACAGCCCTGTTCTTCCATCCACCAAAGGTTCTAATACATGTAACTGCTTCTCTTAGCTGATTTTCAAGACAACAATAAAGCAAGCGATGTAATGTTTATAATAATAATCTTCACAAGCACCACTTCCTCGGTTCCTGTGGAGGCTTTGCTGGTGGGAAGTATGCAGCAATAGAATCTATTGAGAGTCTGGATTTGTGCTTCCCTCCCCGCCCCCCCCTCCCCTTAAGTTATATGAAAGTTTTCTATTCATCATGAAGATTTATTGATTGTTCTAGGGCTATGGGATAATTAAAAATACAAAGGCTTGGCAGCTGTAGTAGAGAATATCCTTTTAGAAATGCTAAACCATGTTAAATCCAAGGAATCCTACTCCTAGTACTCCAAGGGGGTCATAAATAAGTTCAGTGCAGGGGATATAAATACAGATGACACCATTTAAAAATCATGACTATAGTTATTGAGCTTAGATCTCACATCTCCCTTAGCTACTGAGATTTGCAACCCCTCCCCCTCACTTCCATTACATTTATTACTTTATGGCTGAATAAAATCATATATATGTGTCATTCATGGGTTTTTAGACTCACGAGGACTTATGTCCTAGAATTAAATGGAAATACATCATTCTGCAAGTATCCCCAACTTCTATGGAAGGTCAGTACTTTCCACCCCTCCCCTCCCAATGCTAGCTGTCCATCTATGAAACAGGGGGCTAGCTGCCCTCCGAGTGAGAGTTTTATTGCTAAAATAAAGTAAAAATTGTTTTAAAACAAATAACACACATCTTCATAGTAAAACTTGAGTTTGTTTTACAATTAGAGAAAAGAGTCACATGGTCCCCCAAAAAACCCCAAGTTTTATATATATATATCTTTTGAAAATATATTTAAAAACATAAAAAACTCTATAGTTAAACATATATTATGTTAATCAGTACACTTAAATATAGCTTAATTATATTTACAGTATGACGCAGTTGCTTTTAAATTTTAATGCCAATTTCAGTTTTTCCCCAAAACCATAAAATTATATAAATATACAATAAATATTTATGTTACACAAGGTGAATAATAGAGAACAAGGCCACAGACATTAACTTACAGTTGCAAGAGTCTTTACTTTAACACAGCACTAGGCCTGCTGACATGCATGATATACCTTTGTCACGAACAGACCACAGCAAGAGTTCCATTAAGTGACATGAAAGAAAACCACCCCCACCCCTCCTTCCCATCTCTGTCTTAACTGAAACTGCCAAGCCTGGGCTCATGGATATATTAGGTTAGGCAGGTGAGAGCCATGGGAATGCAGTTTAATTGCCAGTTTCACATTGAATCAATAGGCATTGAATTGGTGGAGTATAAGGAACATCACTCCAGATGTGGATACAGGACACAGTTCTGTAGGTTCTTAGCTCCATCCCTTAGGCCTCCTCTCACCTGCACAGCCGGCCCCCTACCACTCTGAACCTACCACCCCACACCAGCACCACCCTGACCTATGCTGGATGAGGACTGCTGAGTTAAGGATATAGCCATAATTAACTTTAGGAATGAGAAACTTTATTTCTACCATGATTTATGCAGTAACACTTCTCTTTTGGAAATTCGATTTCTTAGAACTGGGAATTGTTTTATTCCTGTATCTGAATTAGATTACTGTTACGTCCTAGCTATCATTTCTTTTTCCAGTCTAGATGAGTGATCCATCTGTTACTCACTCATCCTTTCCCCTCCTAAGAGACCAACCCTGGTTTTAAGAGGAGCCACCGTTACACCATCTCTCTGGTGTAGTTTAGGAATATTGCTGAGAATAGCTCCTGAGCCATGTCTGGATTATTAAATGCACAGAATTATAATACACACAGAGGTACTGGCCACAGAGGAATGGAATTCTCCCTTCTATCAACATGTACATTGCATGAAGAACAATTCAATTGAAGTTTTGAGACATTTCATTAAGTACTTTTTTTCCCCCTCCATTTCTGATATCTATGTGGGAGCCCGAACATCTGCAATTGATTGGGAAGGCCGAGGTTTGAAGCTCAGGTGGGACATACAATTCCTTCTTCTCTATCACAATCCAGTGTGCACGAGGCCAATGCAAAAGGTTTTCACTGCACAGTTGGGCTGGTTCTCCTTTGCCCATCAGTTATCCCAGGGAAGGAGAAGCCGTTCTAGCCTACGTAGAAGAAATTACTGATTTTGAAGTGTTAGCCTCTGTTAGCTTCCAGCATGAGCTTCTACTAGAAAGGACATGAAGTCAGTGATAAATATGCTCTTCAGAGAGAATTATTGTGGGGGAGCATATTCCAAATAAGCTTTGCCCAGTTCAGGTTTTTAATTAACTCAAACAGTGAGGCAGATTAACTCAGATTCTGTACCATTCAGAAGTAGTGATATTTCACAGTACTGCCCTCTTTGTTCAGATACTTTTCTTCATCTACAGGAATTACAAATATAGCATCTGCCTCCAGTGAGCTCACCAATGAGCTATTTCTGCTTCTCTGCCCACTGTAGTCAGTGCAAGTGTTATGCACAACTCCGAGGCTTCCAGCCTGCCTTTTTGGACATACTTCAGGATAGTTGGAGGGGCCGTGCCCAGTTAATACATCTATCAGAACCTCAGCAACATTAAGCAAACTCCTGCAGCACTTGCTCTTCATGTACTTCATGAGTATATTTTTTTCTTATGCCAATATTTGTTTCATAAAATAAGGCTGACAGCAGAGGTAGAGAGCCACACAAACTCCAATTGCTTCATCTAGAAGCAAGGCTTCTTCCCACCTCATTCCCCAGCTATCTTCCAGACAGGGACGCTACTGCAGTTTCACAACACACTTTGAAGGCCTGGGGCTACTGGAGATGCCCTGGAGGGTAAAAGGATCAGTGGAAAAGGCAAGCTCTCCCTCTCACAGGATGCACAGGGCCAGGTTTAGTGCTGACTACTCAGTCAAAATAAAACACTGCTCTCTCTCCTTGAACTCACTGAGCTACTCAGTCCCATGACCAACCAGACAAACCAGGCTGAACCTGCAGATCCACCATCACCTTTCTAGACATTCCTTCTAGTGCCATTCTTGTTGTGCTTCACCAAGACATTTGAACCCACCAGAGAGACTTATATTACATGAAGATCACTGTTCTCAACACTCTATAGAGTATTTTCTATATGACAAGCTCCAGTTGTATGGTAAGTGAAATACTTCAAAGATCACAACCACCATCCTTCCAGAGGGAGGAAAGGGAAAAGAAAAACAAAAATCAAACACAAACAAACATGGTATAAGCAAATGCAGGTCTCAAAAGACAGCAAATAAAAAGTTAAAATAATTTAAAAAGGAAAAGAAAATAATCCGAAAAAGCATGTTGCCATACAGTTAATGAAGTGCTGTCTTTCAATTTCTACAATGTGAAGTGGAACAGTGGAACATCACCATTCTTTTTCAGTTGCCTCTTTTTTTTTTTATTATTTTTTGTCAGTAGTTGGATTGCTATTGCAAACACCTTCACAACATACAAAAAGAAAATCGGTTTTTAATCCAGGATAAGGTAACGAGAGGGTTTTTTCCTTTTTCAATCTGATGGGAGTTCAAAAGTGAAAGAGAAACAGGAAAACTATGACAACAGCACCTTGACATTGTTTAATTCAACGCTATCAGGAGTTAAAAGCAGTAAACAGATATAATACTAACAGGAATAAAGATACTCACTGTCTAAAATGTAAACGGAATGTTTTGGTTCAATTTATTTTTCTGAAAGAGGACAGTTTATCATCAATTCACAACTGAAGCAGCATGCAATTTTATTCTTTGTTTTTTTTTTAAATCTTTTTCTATTTTCAATTCTTGGCAACGGCGACAAACCACAATGTTCTCAAGGAATGTAATGCAGACTTTGCTGTTTGCTTGGATCTCTTTTTTTCTTTTTTTGATTTTTTTTTAATTTTTTGTTTGTTTTTGTTTTTTTTTTTTTTAACCTTGTGCGCAAATGACTTTTGTTCCCCTTCAGGTCATGGATATGTTCAATAAATAGATTGTGGAACCACTGTACTGTATAAACTTCAGTTATACATGCAGTCCATAAAATTATTTTTTACCGAATAATTTACCCTGTTATGTATATATACAAATAGATAATTTTGTCTCAATATAATCTATACAACACAAACCCACTATCTTCCCCTTTTAATGGTTAATGTACATACACAGGAAGTGTCTATCCTTATAAAGCGCCAGCCAACTCTCTTTTTATTATCCATGGTGAGAGCTCTCACGTAAGACTGGGTAGTTCGGCACTGGGAGTTCCAGTGCCTCTTGTCTATGCCCCTGCAGCCCTCCTTTGTGTACCCCTTGGGGTTGCATTTGGTCTCATAGAAGTATTGCTTCAGTTGGCCTTTGGGTACTGGGACTTTCTCCAGGACGGTGACAGTCGCCCCAGACATGTCCACCGCAGTCTTTTTCTCCGCCGCTGTCACCCACTCACTTGTGCTGTCGCAGACACTCAGTTCCCCGCGGCGAGCTGGGTCAGAGTGGCGCCGGACCCTCATGGACATGTTTGCAGCATCCAAGTAGTTTTTGTACTCCTCAAGCAGAAAGAGCAGTGGGGGTTCCAAAGGCACTTGACTGCTTAGCATGACTCGGGATGTGTACAAGTCTGCATCCTTGTTTTCCTCGCTGGGCTGGATGTCCTGGTCCTCATCTAGAAGCTCCTCTATGACATGTTCAAAAGTGTCCGCCAGTGATGTCAGTCCTCTTGAACCAGCATTGGGCCCATTTAGGCTCTCAAGAGTCCCGTGGGTCCGAAGACCTGGGTAAGCCAAGCTGCCTTGTCCTCTTACACTAGCTTCTTTCATTGGGGCAGCTTTCATGCAACTGAAGTATGAGATAACCATAGTAAGGAAAAGGATGGTCATCACTCTTCTCACTTGGTGGAACTGTTAAGGACAAGAACAAGGAAAAAAAAATTATTTTAAAAGGGATCAAGTAATAATAAAATTCACCTGAGCTGTCATGAGACATTATGCATTTTCTGCAGAGATCTGCTGCATGCAGCCACAACTCATTACCCCCGATAAAACTTACCCTTGTACAAAGGTATTCTTTGATTCACAGTTTCAGAGAAAGCATATGCCAAAGCTTGGGCAACACTGATGCCAGCAAGTCAGAGTTCTTACATGCCAAAGTCTTCCTGTAGTAAGTATTAAACACTATGCAACCTCCTTATTTATTGACTGATTACACCTATTTAAAGTAACAGCAAAGGCAGAACTGATATTGAGCAACGCAACATTTCAGCAGTAAAAGGCAGCTTCACAAACATGCCAGGCAAGACTTTCATTTCAAGTGGAAATATTTAAGATCTCTCTATGACAAAATATTTTGTCATTCTATGAACAATCCCCTCCCCATCCTCCCCCCCCCCCAAAGAGCACCAGGATAAACTGCATTTGTGTTTTGAAAGCAGTCTTCAAAAGACAAGAAGCCACTGCCACCCAATTCTGAGGTTTCAGCAGGTCAATTCCTCAACTAAAAGTAGAAGGTATGTGTGCATAAATATGGAATGAGAAAATGGTCCAGCACAGTAGACTAAATTTGAGCAGGACAGCTTGCTTGCATCATGTGAATGCTGTGGAAGGGACCCGTTGGATTACAGGCTGTTAAGAGCTACACTGAAATGACAGTACCAGAACCACTGTACTGTATTTTGCCAAAGCCCCATAGTGGCTGTTCTCAAGCAAGCAAAGCAGAAATCCATCAGGACAACCAGCCCTAGTGCCATACTCAACAAGCTTGCTCGTTTCTCTCACCCTCTGCCCCAAGTTCTGGCACATGTTATGCTTTGAGGCTTATGTGTATGCTTGGCTCTGTCTTCATCGAGCATGGAGGGGTAGCACCAGGAAAGTGCCAGTATGAAAACTCCTCCCCAGGCTTGGATTCTGCACGACTCACTCCTCTCAGCACTCCCAACAGCTTGGGCTTGTATGACTGCTCCTTCCCAAGCGCTTCACTAAGTCTGTAGACTGTGCATTCCTCAAAGTAGAAATGTTTTCCTCCTCAAGTGCAGTGTACACACTTTGTGTACTATTACAAGAACCGCCAAACCCTGCAGTGACAGACAGCTATATTTTGACCTATCCCAAGTGCTACTACAACATCCATCACATCCAGTTGTTATTTTTTCTCTTTCTGATCCCTGCTCTCACCAGTTCTGCTTGCTAGAAAGCAATGGCATTGTTCACATTTTTGAAGCAGCAGCTAATGCTTGTTTCAGAGCTTTTGAAGTTCATTCGGAAGTACCTCATACTTGGCAACTCTCATTGGAGTAAATGCTATTTCTGTTTGCCAACAGGGTGTTATGTTAAAAGGCTTACTTCATCTCTTGCAAATATGCTGTGGGAAACTAGTACTCTTAAGACTGGAACATGGAAAGACAATCTATCATAAAGCATACAAAGAAAATGAAATATGTACTGGAATGGCAGTGCCCAAAATGTAGGTCTCAAATTATACTTAATGGAGTGGGGAGAGTGGGAAGTGTTTGGGTTTGTGTCCATGCCCCTCTCAAACGACGTTTTGGCTAAGAATCCTCTCTACCCCAGCACAACTCTTTCTCCATCTCTCCATCCTTCTTCCTATTTAAAAGTGTTACTGTGGCATAGATTTATTAAGATTAAACAAACCTGACATCTGTGACTCACAGGAACATAGCATTTGCTCTAACCATGTAGAGCACTAATATTTTGCAGATTTTTTGTATCCTTGGATTTTTATAACGTTCTACACGGAGCAATACCAGATTTCTTCCTCAAAGGGGAGGAAGAGAAACACAGAGATGATTTACAACTCAAGGAAGGTGGTTATCAGTCTTCCTTTATCAAACAAGGAAAGACAAGACAAGAGGGATAAAGGGTGGTTCATACAAATGCAGAGCCAGTGGAACAGGCAACACAAATAATTCATGTACTCTGAAAATTATTTTATATAAAACTTAAAAGGAAAAATCCGCAAACACCCACATCAAACTCTGTGACCACCAGAGCAGCGAACACACAACACAGATCTTCTGGCTCCTTATCAAGTTCCTGTTATTTTCATTAGAGTAGTGCCCAGAGATCCCAGCCAATATCTTGACTCTGGAGGACAGATTCTGTCTGAGAACGCAGTAGTACCCCAAGGGGCCTTCCAGTGCAAAAGATAGAGGACACCACACAAGAGGTACCAAGACCAGCACCAAACAAAGAGAAGATTGCACCCATCAGCTATATACACTGGTTGGAGGCTGGACATTTACTTTTCAAGGTAAGTAGGTCAGCCTTAAGTTAGGCAGGATCTCTGGACCAGGCCACATCCTTCACTGTTGTCACTGGGCTGTTTACCTCATGGTAGCAGTGAACGTGGAGGGATGTGAAATGAATAGAATAGCAACTGTGCAACTATTCACACATATATTTTTCTTACAAGGAAGAAGACTGAAGAGATGTGGAGAAACCTCACCAATTGACTTCAGTAAGACCTCAGCATCCTCTGCCAATGGCTAGTTGGTCACCAGATACAACAGTACTTTATAGCTCATGTTAAATTAATCCTTCCTCAATCAATCTTGCCTTCCATTTAGCAAGGAAACTGCTGTCAAGCTTGATCAATTTACATCTCATCTGATGACATACAACCGCTGGTGTTATCTGACTGGCAAGAAACAGTGTACAACTGGGCTCTGAAAACCAGTAACTCCAAGACAGCCATTGGCCATATAACATACTGAAAACACACAACGAAAAGCGTCCCCATGAAAGCCACCCTTCTTCCTCCCATTTATAACAGTAGAAGAGTATGTCACAGTAAGCTTTAGCAGCGCAGATACGCAATCCTGCTAGCAGGCAAACAGATCAAACATCTACTTCTTTGTAAATGAATCCCAGACTATGCCTAATTGTATGAGCAGGATGTGAAAAGATTATTCTATCTGAGAAATATACACAATCCTTGTCTTTGGCAGCAAAATAATATCAAATTATTTGATAGAAGAAAACAGTATTTGAACACCTAGGAAATCTCTTCATTTTAAAGGCCGTAGTAATTTCCAGCAGCAGCTGCTCAAAATCTACTAGTTTAGCATCCTATAGCAGAGCAACATTTAAATCTCACTTCATGGGTAGAAACACACCACCTTTCAGCTACTGTTGAACTGACTCATGAATGCATGGTTCACGAGTCAGTTCATGAGTTAGTGAAGCAGGACTAATACTCCAGTGCGGCACCAAAAAGGTCACTGGAAACACTTTGGATGGCAGCTTCAAGTCCTTTCTCTCTGCTCCCTAACTATCTAACCTTCATTACATTGCAAACATTAAAGATACAACCTGCCCTGTTACACTAATACACTAAGGGGGTTTTTACAAGGGCCTGTAATGACAGAACAAAGGGAATGGCTTTAAACTGACAGAGGGGAGATCTACACATAGTTCAGTGTGTGGTGTCCCTGCCCATGGCAGGGGGGTTGGAACAAGATGATCTTAAGGTCCTTTCCAACCCTAACTCATTCTATGATTCCACAATTAGGCAGAAGTTCTTCCCTGTGAGGGTGCTGAGGCGCTGGCACAGGTTGCCCAGAGAAGCTGTGCCTGCCCCATCCCTGGCAGTGTTCAAGGCCAGATTGGGCGGGACTTGGAGCAACCTGCTCTAGTGGAAGGTGTCTCTGCCCGTGGCAGGGGATTAGAAGTGGATGAGCTTTAAGGTCCCTTTCAACCTAAGCCAGTCTAGGATTCTGTGTTCATTCTCATGGCTGCAAGAACATCCTTCCTTCTCTCATGCAGCATAGTAAAGCTGAAGCAATGAAAAGAGTTTACCCACCATGGACCAGATCTCAGGAACGCGTGACCTAGTTTGTACTTCAATAAAGTCCACACAATTACAACTAGAATAAGGGCACATAATTGTGGCAGTTGTCCCCACTAACGGGAAGAAGGCTCATTAAATGAAGGTCATGTCAATTATCTACTGCTAGTTTACATACGCAGTCAATTACCTAGCTGTACAACTTATTTAGATATTTACATTTAATGAGGATTCACCACTTAATCATTTGATTTCACTATTTTTAGTTATTTTAAGCAGAAATCTAGCAGCTTAACAGGTTGTATTTCCAGCAGAGAGACCTGAGGGACAGCTGTGAACATGTGCTTGCTTTTCTGCATCCTGATATGTGCATGAAGGCTGAAGTAACTTTCAGTAGTGAATAGATTCATAATGCTTTAGTCTCCAGCAAGGAGTGTGTGGTGGAAGATAAAATTAGCAGCAAGGAGACATTCATTTTCTGCCTTGCCATTTTTTAAGACCTTTATACACAAGTTCAATTTACTAAATACTATTGAACAGCACAGGCATGAGTTCCGGCTCTACGCATCATTACCAGAGTGTGTGAACAGATACCAAAATGGGATGCATGTCAGCACATGATTTGCAGAGACTAAACGCACTGAGAACAAATAGTATTAACCTTTAACACATGCATAACTGGATGTCTGACACACTCTAGTTATCCTCTTGGCTGTTTATGTGGCAAACTATATAATTACTTTTTATTACTGAAAACAAAGCACCCTCCAAATACATACACATGCACACCCACACTCAATTTGTATTCTTGTAAGTTGGTGCTTCGTGTCAGGAAGAAGAAACCCATTTTGTTTTTCTCATGTTGGTTTTCCCCAAGGTAATAAAATCTACGTACCCGTAATGCCAGAGATGGCAGAGACTAAGAACCATTTTGAAGACTAAGACAAATAGCGAGCAAATTTACAAGTAGCTTGTAAACTACAGCTTTTAACATGAGAAATTTGCTTTTATCTTACATTGCTAAATACTGCCTATGGTACAGCTTCTGAGAGCAGTGAAACTCCACAATGTGTTCACTGGCTCTGGAGAGGTATACATCTGGTTAAAGCACTTCCAAGGGGGTTTTGTGGGGTTTTATCACTCTCCCCACAACACATTGAAAATAAAATCACAACTTCTCCTGCCAACCAGAGGTGGGAAAGAACCCAAAGAGAACAGTGGCAAAATAATAATGCCATGATATTATACCCCGATCTTTCACAGAGTTATGTGTCAGTTTCTTACCAACTTCCTTTACACTTTTCCGGACACTGTGAAGGGCACAGACTTGCTTCAAAGCTTGAAGAGAGAGAATCCAGCTGCCCTAATGGGCACACACCAGACAGCTTCCTCATTACAAGCATGCTTATACTTAAATTGGCCAAGTGCAGGACTACAAGGAGCTCTCAGCAGGATTTCTGTCAGATGGATCTCAGTCCCATTCTGCCCATACCAGGAAATGGGCAGGATGAGTTTTAGCACCACACACAAGAGAAGGAATAGCAGGCCAGACTCACAGATGGTACCAGTGCTTTCAGAAAGGCAACAGCCATGGAAGAGAACAGATGTGAACTATTTTTATAACTGGACAATGGGAACCGATTGTTGAGCAAGTGACACACACTGCTTTTCCAGCAGTTTGGACAGCATCCTGCACATGGGGCTTCCAAACTGCATCTGGGGTTGCTATCCGTATGCAAACAAACTCAGCTCCAAAAGGGTACTTGTGTGCATGCCACTATACATATCAAACACAATATGCTTTACCATTAGGGTTAGGGTTACCAAGGTATGCAATGACAGTCCTCCTCAAATAAAAGCACTACCAGCACGTTTATTTTCCCTCATCAGGAGTATCACAGGTAGGGTAACATGCTGCACTCCTACTGCCATGCCTGAAATACTTTACAGTAGGGATGTGACTTCAAAGTCTAAAACCTAAGCATTAGCAAATTCCAATTTCAAACCTGACTTCAGGCTTAAAACACTGCATTAATCTGTTTTAGAGTTCACGTCAAGTTACATTAATGCCATTCTGTGGTCATTCAGAAGTAACATTATGCAATGCCTGTGAAAAGTAAAGTTCACCTTATAGATTGGGGTACCTATTTTGCCCCTCAAAACAAGAAAAAGAACCACAAAACCATTTCATGAAATAATTACTCTGTGCTACAATACTATCTGGTTCCTCTACGGGAGCAGATAATTACAGTTCTCTGAAATCATTTGCTTTGATAGCCACTAGAGCTTTATATAATGCTAATTCAACCTGCACGCAGAAGAACCTCAGACCTTTGAGCAGCATCTGTGGTTTGTATTCCATTTCACTATGGCTCTCTGGTATAAAATACTGTGCTGAACCATCACAGGACTAAGCTATTCTGCCAAGTACACACATGAAGCTCCCACTGAAGTCAAGGATAATTGGCACCCGAGAGTAGGAACAGAACAGAGCATGTTGCATGCAAACTAGCGTTGAGTTGGATCCCTTGTACCATGACATGTGTCCAGCAGCCCTGGAACAACTCAGAAGCTGCTGTACCAGTTGAGCTTGGATCTTACGAGTGCCTATAAACTACTGAACAGCATGTAAAACATCCCACGCACCCATCAGTTCTGCTGCAAGTGGCAAGCTTCCTAGGACCTATAGAACATTATGCACTCAACAGGAACGTAAGTGAAGCTTAGCCAAGGAAAGTCAATGGTTAAAAAGCATAAGCATCAGATGGAGCAGTTACCCATGGTTTGGGCAGGTAGTGCTTTCTCTAGGGTAAGGGAGAAGAGCAAGGGCTATACCCATTTGTTGCAAGACTCTTACCTTTGCTGAGACCCTGACTGTGTGTGGCATTGCTGTAAGAGAATACCTTGTTTTTAGCCATAGTCAGTCCTTGAAATGAGGCAGATCAGTATGTCGTGGTGTGCACAAACCCAAAACTGGAAATGCCTGTTGTCGGAGCCCTGACAGGTATTAACAATATGCCTGCATTTGCCAGTGGTGTTATCAGTCATCTTTTGGCTGCCCGCCCTCATGTGCAGATTTCTCTCAATACATGCTCAGTCCAGTTGTTTGCACGGCATCTCTATGGAAATACCTTCCACAGATGAGGGAAGGGATAAAAGCTGATGCTGAGGTATCTATCAGAGCAGCTTCTGGGAAGAGTCAACTCCAAAATTATATGGGAACAACCAGATCAAGAGCAGAAATTGGTCAGTGTGCAAAGCCACCTCCATTCACATTAATGGAATAATGAAGGATCTGTAAGGAGCAAGGACATACTCATTAGGAATGTAAGCTACCTCACCAGAGCCAGCCCTGCATGTGTCCTGCTGTGACAGCAGCTTTTTCTTTGGAGATAACACTGTTGGAAAATTAGGTTACTATGTTAATATAACTGTATTGAAAACACTTCAGTGAGAAGTGCTCTTTCACCACTGATATTCACCATGACGCAGTTCACCACAGATCTCAAAGCATTATAGCGTTATAGTTTTCAGGGTTTTTTTTCTTCCACACCCTCAAGGTGGTTTCATGCTGAAACAAAACTTCTGCAATTGTACGCCTGGTTCTCAGTCCCTCACCTGTTTTAATAAATCTGGGGACCAACTTCAACTGGATTTAATAGAGGGATGCAAGTTTCACTGACAACACTATTTCCATGGTCAGGTGCTGGAGCTAGCATATAGTAGCTCAGACATACCCAAATAACACCCTCCCCCCCCCTCCCCCTTTCTTCCTTAGTCAGGCAAATACCAGTCTATGTTCTTACCCACTCAGACTTACAACACTGTGTTCCTGCTTTTATTTCACACGCTCCACAGAGGAAAAGCATTTGGAACTACTACAAGGGTTGAGAAGGTACATCTGGTAAAGATGCAAGTGTTTGAAAACAAGCTTCGCGAGTTGTAATGCTCAAGGTACAAACATTTAATGGAACATACAGAAAAAAAGCTTGCAGTCTGGAAGGAAGAAGTACTTTGTAAAGCTCCTGCCTTCCCCCAGTTGTAGAATGGTGTAATTTCTTTCACAGTAGTGTTACACTTCAATTCCTGTAAATTACACTGACGCAGGGTCCTTCCTCTCCCCATCTAAAAGTGAAGTTCACCTGGCTCATGACTTTTCATACTTTGCCACCAAATATAACTACAGGTTGTGGCATCATGGGAAATCACTTCCACAAAAGTTCTTGAGGTTTACTGGAGAAGTGTATACTAGCGGACCTAATGCTGGTGGACACAGTCACTGCCTCGTGTAAGCCCATAGTTCACAGATTTATACCAGCTGTAAAGGTGGCCCTGTATTTATGCACTCATAAAAATCA